AATTGGTGAGTTTGAGTGATTTTGTAATCTCAATTTGTACTCTTCTTCTCTATTAGTAAAAACTCACCCCCCCCTCTTGCCCCGTGGACGTAGGTAACTTGCCGAACCACGTAAAATTCGTTTGTTTGTGTTCGTGCCATTATTTTGTATTTGTTCGGCCTTCTCTCTCGGCGTTTGGTTTGGTTCCTCAAAGCACAACACTTTGATGAGTCAAATGCGGATGCAGATGAATTATTTGCTTGCTCGTAAAGAAACAACAATATCTCTCAATATGGAAGACAGATTCTAACATATTATATATGAAAATCGCTTATCTCGACAAGCCAAAGTCAAATGCGGATGCGGATGAATTATTTACTTGCTCACAGATAAATAATCATATCTCCTAATCTGGAAGACAGATTCTATGGAAGGTAAATTCTAACATATTATATATAAAAAAAATTCATCTCGACGAGACGAAGCCATCTAGATTGACATATTGATCTTAAAATCACATCAGCATCATCGGTTTTTGGTAAAAAAATAAAAAATAATCAGCATTTAGTTTATTTTTAATAATAAAATTAGAGTCTGTTTAGATTAAGAAACAAATTCAATTTTGATTGATGTCAGACTTATTTATTTCTTATAGGATAAATTTTGAAAACAAACCCTTTTCGAAATTTATTTATAAAAAACAACACATTCTCAACTTATTTGTCAAAACCGACCTAGTTTCAGTCATCTGGCTGAAACTGGGTCAATTTTGGCAAAAAAAATATCAAACTTCACAGTTCACAAGACTTGAAGTCCGGTGAAGTTTTTTACATAACAAAACTTCACGAGACTTCAAATCCCGTAAAATTTTTACATAACAAAACTTCACGGGACTTGAAGTCCAGTGAAGTTTCTGAAAATTTTTCTTTCAAACCGACCCAGTTTCAACCAAATTGCTGAAACTAGGTCGGTTTTGACAAATAAGTTGAGAATGGGTCGTTATTTTACAAACAAGTTTCAAAAGGGGATTGTTTTCAAATTTTGTCCTTTCTTATATTATAGGAAGTCTTTTTACAATAGGATTTGATACTTTTTTCTAGTCTTATTAGGAGTCTAGTTTATTTTTCTATTTAAGAATAGACGTGTAACCCCAAAATTATTAGATAACTTTTGATCAATAAATTCATTTTTATTTTATTTTCTTCATAGATTTGAAAGTTGTTCTTTGTGGATTCAAAGAGTACCCTTTGATGGATTCCGAGGTTTCTTACTTCTACAAAGCATTAATTTTCATGATTTATTAGAAGTTAGTTTTCAATTAAGAGACTAATGATTTTGGAATGTAGAGGTTTAGATGCAATTCTCGCAACAAGAATATATCACATTGATCAAAGCCCAATGATCCAAGGAGTAATATTTATTTGGTGCACATCTCTCCCCCATAGCTAGCTAATGGCTTTTAGTGCAGATTTCGGTGAGAGAATAACTAGACAAATCTAAGAATTATGGAAGCTTTCACGAGTCAAGGATTCTTCGAACAATTTCAACTTGTTTTCCATTTCCCACTTTATTTTGATGGAAAAGAGACCAAAATGATGATTATTGATAATGTGATACGAACTGCAAAAAAGCCTGCAATTATAAGTAGCAGACCATCTTTATTTTCTTTAAGTTTCCAATCAAGGCATAATATTTTCTCCTCCTCTCTAATTATACTTCTTTTACCAATGCTAAACTTTCAGAAGGTACCACAGACATCTAACAAAAGAATGAAAAAGTACTGCAAGATGCTTCCCATCTTTTTCTTTTTCTTCTTCATCCTCAAGATTCTCTCCATCACATCATGCAAAAAAAAAAAAAAAAAAAAGGAATACAATTGACAATTGGAATGCACTAAAAGGGAACCAAGGGAGCTCTAACTAAAAAATGTACTTCAATATCACCAAACCAAAGCACAATAGTTTAAGACATTTTCACTATATATAAACTAAGGCTTTTCTTGTAGGGTTGTGACCAATGTCATCCCTTTGGAGCTTAACTCACGAGTCACTGCTATATGTTTTTAATTAATTTTGATAAACTACATGATAATAACAGTCAAACAGCTTAGGAGGGAAATTTTTGTTGTTTACATATAGTTTTGTCCAAATTAAGAGGCAATATTGTTAATTTATATCTTAGAGATTAATGCAATAGGGCTAAGAAAAATGGAGCCAAAGGTAAACTTTCGATAACTTAGGACAAGCCTAGATTCGATGCCAAAACTATATATTATAACATGACATTTGATACCCTTTTCCATAAGCTGCAAAGATGCTCAAAATTTGTGAACGAAAAAGTTCTCCTAAAAGCAGGGAGAGATCGCCCGCGAATGATGAAGTCCTGCGTAGTTTTGAAGTCATTCATTAAAATAGGAGACGCGATTATATTGAGGAATTAATACTAATGAATTTTAAAGCAAATACTAAAGTGACTTAATTAATTTATATCGTATTTAGATCTAATGTAAATGAGTTAAGGTGATTAAGCTGTCCCAACGATTGAATGACAAAATAGCTAGGTAACTTGTTAGTGGATTTTGTGCTAGGAATTAATCAAAATGCTAGACATTCTGGGATTATATATATGCAAATTCTTGAAAATACAGGACCGAGGCTATGATAAAATTTTCAACTCAAAATTTATTTTTTAAAAAGAAAAATACATATTCAACTCGCAATCTTTCACGAAATACATTTTCATAATTGGAACTTTTCTCAGGTGTACATCTTTCAAAATGTATAATCGGATCCTCTCCACTACAAAAAAAATAGTGGAGGGACCATTACATAATCACAGCCATTGATTATCTAGTTGATGGTTATGATTTTTTCTTTTAGTGCAAATTAGGAATGAGTGCAATACACGGGGGTATGGTAAGTATTAGATTTAGATTGTATCATAACCGCCTACTAAATAATCAACGCTTGAGATTAAAAGTAGTGGTCTCTCCACTACTTTTTTTGTAGTGGAGAGTATCCAAATCCAAAAAAAAATCAACTGAGTTAAAGAGAGAGGGCCAAATTACCAATTACAACCATGTGAACAAGTAAGTAAATATGTTTTCTATCTTTTTATGTGGTCAAAGCTTGTAAATTTTAAAATTAATTTACATAGAAAAAGAGGCCTGCTCTTTAATTTAAACTGGCTAAATAAATATGGTTTTCTGAGAAATTTGGAAAAATAAAATGAGGAACGTGATTGAGAGTTGAGATTCTGCTCTTGATGACTTGTAGGAGAAAGATGCTTTTTTTCTTCTCTTTGTGTCTACTTGGGACGGCACTTGCCCTTTGGTCCTTGTTAAGAGCTGACATGACCGGCTTTAAATTATTTAAAAGGTACAAAATTATTTTCTAATTTCATTAATAAAGGAAGCTTTTACTTGTAGTAGTTTTGACAAGTAAATTTGATGATAGACCCAATTTGATCCAACATGAATTCACTTCAGTTGACAATTAAGGCACCTGGACTACTGATCTTACAAGATCAACGAGATTACTTTTTGTATATAAAGGAAAAAATGTGAGTGCTGGAAATCACCTAAAATGGTGATAGTGACTTGTTCTATCAATATAACATATCTATTTTGGAAAAATTGCTTCTAGGCCCCAAAATCCAACTTTCAATGTGCCTCAGTCCCTCATTTTTTTAATGTGCTGCAGCCACTTGTTTTTAAAACAATTGTGTCCGGGTCCCTCTATCATGATTCCATGTCATGCAAGCGGATGATTAGACATGTCAGCTCATGATTAGATGGGAAAATTGCTTCTAGGCCCTAAAATCCAACTTTCAATGTGCCCCAGTCCCCCCAACTTTCAACAATGTGTTGCAGCCCCCTTTTTTTTTGAAAAAATTGTGTCCAAATCTATAACATAAATATATCGTGTGCTCATGGCGCTGTTTCTAATTTTGCCTCTTCAATTATAGTATTGTAGAATCCTTGGAGTTTCTAATTTTGCCTCTTCAATTATAGTCTTGTAGAATCCTTGGAGTTGCGGACGTAATTCTTTATGTAATTTTTGCCTCTTCACAAAAATTAATGGTAATGGGCATCTTCAATCTTTTTCGTATGTTTAAACTGGGAACTTCCAATGTCCAACTTTCTACAGCCAAAATAACAACTTTTTGGGCAGAAACCAAAATAACTTCTCTGCTTAATATATTCAGTTGAAATATAAAATAATAAGCTGAAGGTCGGCAGCATTATTTTCTTTAACCATACAAGTTTAGTTAAGCTCTTCTACTGATATAAAATCAATTAATTATGCAAAATGTTTACAAAACTAATTAAATGTCACCTGTCAGCTGCCGGACTTTCCCAACGTAGTAATTAACAGGTAAGCCTTTTTTTTCTCTTTATGGTAGAAAGCAACAGAAAAGAAGTTAGACGATACACGAGAATATTAGTCGATAAAAATGATGGAGACCACCACCATCATCAAGTTCCCACGCTTTGGCATGTGTCTTCAGGAGATGATTAAAAACATTAATGCAGGGTTTTAAACTGATAACATGCTATCTTATTATAGTGGAGGCACATTTCTCTTTTGCGGTATAAAGATGACATAATAATGTTCGGTGGCTCAATTAGTCTGTCAACACATGTCACGCTAAGATAATTATATTGTATTTCAAATTCGAAGATATTGGTCCTAGAAAAAAGGATAGATATTGCTATTGTGATAACATCTGATATGATATTATTAAGGTTAGCAAAGTGAAGAAATGAGCAATCCAGTATGAAAGTAAGCTTCTTTCGCGTGGACGGTTACTCCTCGTTTATGATAGTAATTTATCTGAAATTAGGTTTGAGTCATCGCGTTTATGCAATCATAACCGTGAACAACACTCTACATAAAAGAGAATCATTACATCCTTTCTTTGCACAGGGGGCATATATGAAAATATAATAAAAGTAAACGCCAAAATATAGAGGTCAGTGATAGATTCATAGCATAACATAATATGGTTAAAAGGTAACCTTGCTCCAAGCATGTTGCCTCAAAAACTTTATTTCATCAAAATTGAAGGTGATGATACAAGACATTAGCTCTTCTCAACAGGATACATACACATGATACAACATGATATTTACAACTTTTCTTACCTTAATATTAATACTGGATATCGCTACTGCAAGAAAAGGTGCAAGGAAAAGAAGCAATAAAGTTAAAATGGGAAGAAAAAAAATTATAATACAGCTACAAACTTCCACTCGTCGCTCATTCAAGCAGTGCCGGTTATCAATTTCTCCTGTTGATCTAATTTTTTGACTTTGAGAAGGCCAAAGAGAACTTGCAGCCCAAAGAATGCACAGAATAGGTAAGCAGTCATAGCTGGACCCTGTTAAAGTGAAGAAATTAATTCTACATACAACTGGAAGAAAATTAATATGTCTTGAGTTATTTTGTACTTTTATGCAAAAAGTCGTGTAGATTTGCATACCCGAATGGAGTTAAGATACAAAATTGTTGCCAGGTTTATTAGACTTCCCGCTGCCACAGCCTACAGAAAATAAATAAAGCTTTCGGACATGAGTTGGAGGTATCTCATAAAAAAAAATAGTTACACAGAGTTTGCTTAGAGATCAAGGCACTGAAGAAAGGAAACAAACAGTGTCATATAATAAAAATGAATTTCCACATCCAAGTTACTCAGAGCATAATGTTCTGCTATGATAGGATTTAACATTTCCCCAGAATTAAAGGTTATTTGTTACGCAAGTATTGGGCTTTGAGGCGTGCATTGGGCATAATTTGCACATTGACATCGCTAATTAAAAAAACGAATTGCAAATGTAAATTGTTTCACCAAAGCCTTTTTCTTCTACTTATAAAATGATAGCATATACTTAATATTTCCGTGAAACAGAAAGCTGAGAATATGATTTGTCGTGCTTGCCAATCTTGTATAGAAAGATTTTTATATGATGCATGCATTTTTCTTACTCAGCCGGCGGAAGGTTTGGCATTATATGCAAGAGAGGTGAAACCTTTCTTAGTAAGTTTTTGTTTAATCACTTTAATGTAGTTAGCCGATGAATATAATTTATGTAAAACTAAATGGAATTAAGCCTCAAGGAAGCTAGAACATACAGTAGTCATTACCAGGACATCCTATCATATGAGTACCCTGCAAGTTGCTGGCTCATTTACAGTTGAATTTGAGTTTCTAATGCAAGTAAATAAGGTAAGTTCCACATATTCTACTGATGCGTCCACACAAATAAAATGTTACCAAGAGCTAGGTCATGCTCTTCATCTTTCAAGCATCCCATCTTTCCTTATTTATCATCGGCTCATAAAATACTTACAAAAAAGTTTCAACTTCGTGTCTTGCTTTCCTTAAAGATATAAAACTAGCTGAAAAAGAAAGGAATTTTAGAACATGAAAGCGCAAAGCCAGTAATGAAGAACAATTTTCTTTCAGAAGCCGAAATTATTTATAGACAAACAATAAATTGACAAATATGGAATAAACACTACTAAACATTATGCTAAAAGAAAAGGTAACGTAGAATATGCAAGTCAAAAGCCAAAGATCAACTCACATTTCCAACTGTCTTTTGTACAGCAGCAACTCTCTGGAAAGCTCTCTCAGATTCCAAAGTTCGTACTCGAAGCTTGAGATCACCTTGCTCCTGTAAGAAAGGTCATGAGCAGTAAAGAAAATGATAATAAGTGCTATATCTGAAAACAACTTCTGTTGTACAATGGAGAAAGCTTCTAATCCCTACCAAACGCTGAATTATCTCTGCAAGCTTTTCAACTCTATCAGCTTGTCTGAAAAGGTTATAGAATGCGCGAGATTGTCGTTCCCATCTTTTTCTAAGGTCCTGTATGCAAAAAAAGATAATCAGTAAAAATGTGAAGTGACATAGTAATTAGCAAGTAGCAACTACCAAGTTACAGTTTAAGATAAGAGAGATAAGCTAGAAGATTGCCTTTACAAGAACTTCATAACCAGCCTCACGAAATCTTAACAACTCCAGAGCATATCTATGAAAAAGAAGCATGTAGCTCATGTCAGATCCAATAATACAAAAACTCAACAGCCTTATGATTAATTACAGAGGACATAAGAAACTGTAAAAACACACTCACGGTTTAGCAATCTCTGTAATATCAAATCTGGGGTCCAAACCCTTTCCTATTCCATCTAGTACTACAAAAACAGCAACCATTTCAAAAAGGATACCAATTGAATTTTGCAGCTGATTATGAATTGTTATTGAATATTATACCTGAAAATGCTCTGACAACAAATGTGAAAGTGGCTGGAAAACGGAAAGGTTGATCAGCAGCAATTGCTAGAAGATCCTCACCTACAACATGGAAATTGCAAATCCAACCAGTATGCAAATTAATGTGAAAGTGCATTAAAGCATAATGCTCAAAACGTTAAGGGAGAGAGATGTCTGAATGAAAATTGCATGCCTACCGATTGCAGCTAGTCTTTGTTTCTTCTTTTCTAATCTTTCCTCTTTGCTCAATTGCTTTTTGAACCCAAGCTCGGCGGTTGCCATTTCCCTCTCTTTCCTCTGTGCTGCAAGGCGCTCTTCAAAGCTGGATGTCATTGAATTCAAGAGATTAATAAAAGCAGATACTAAGATACTGCTTAAAATGCAATGCAGAATAGGTTTCTGTTAAATCACCTATTGAGAAAGAACTTGGCAGTCCTTCTGACAGCTGTCATGTCTCCAGTTGGAACCAGGACACCCATTTGAACCATTGCTTGAAGCACCTACATGTCAGAGTTGTACTTAAGTTAGGCTGCAGATTTCATCAACGAGTTGAATTTGATATAAGATAATCCCCAAGACCCTAGTCTGGCAAGCAAGGCAGGCAAAGATACTACAAATATTAATTAAAAGAGAATTTCAGCTATAAAGTTACGAAAGGACTAAAATATGTGCTATAGACAGTGAGGGATGCATTGTGAAGCTATGCACAACTAGAAGTCCCATTGCAGTTACTGAACACCAGAAAACGGCAAAAAACCAGGAAGAAAGATTACGCCCAGTGGTCCCACTAAGAACCGCATGAAAAACAGTGGCAATGACCCCTTGAATTAGTTCATCCCCCCCTAGCACCCTGGATGTGGCAGCAATGCTTACGAAAATTGTGGACAGTATGACGTCTGTAGAATTGTATATTGAGTTAGACGAGTATTAGACTAGATTTTATTCTATTTTTGTTATATAGTTAATTCTGGAAATTAGTCAATACTAGAATTTAGTTAGTTTTCTTGTTTAGTGGGATTCTCTAATTAAAGAGACTTTCCCGGTTGTTGTTTTGATTTCTTAGGATTTGTTTCCTATTTTCTTGGGCTGATTAGTTGCTTATTACTGTGTACATAAGGGGCAAGAACCCTCGGTTTCTAATAAGGAGAATTTCAGAATTTTCTCAACTCTTTCTTCATGGTATCAGAGCAGCTAGGTTCTAAACCCTAATTTTTTCTTCCCGTACCGTTCTCTGTCTTGCAGTCCAGCAATTTTTCTGCACTTTTTTTTCTTCATGACCAAATACGGCATGGCCTCTCATTCTTCCTCTACTTCATCGGAAGTCACATATAGAGCTGATCCTTCTGCCCTCAGTCTCATGGTGGCCGATTCCTCCTCAACAGTGGTTATCAACCACAAATTGTAGGGCCATAATTTTCTTCAGTGATCTCAATCGGTGTTCATGTTCATGTGTGGTAGAGGGAAAGATTGGCATCTTACAGGAGAAATTATTGCTCCTGAAATCACCAATTCTCAGTATCGGGCATGAAAAACAGATGATCACTTGGTGATGTCTTGGCTTATCAATTCATGACCACAGAAGTTGGCGAGAATTTCCTGCTCTTCAAAACCGCAAAGGATATCTGGGAAGCCGTACGGGACACTTATTCAAGCACTGAAAACACCTCTGCTTTATTTAACATTGAAACAAGGTTGTATAATCTCCGTCAAGGTGATCTCAGTGTAACTCAATAATTTAACATGCTTACTCGTTTTTGGCTGCAGCTTGACATGTATGAAGTATACTCATAGAAGTGCTCCAATGACTCTGCACTATATCGAAAAATCATCGATCAAAAAAGGACCTTGCGATTTCTTCTCGGTCTTAACAATAATCTTGATGATGTAAGGGGAAGAATCATGGGCAGCAAGCCGTTTCCCACCATCCATGAAGCTTTCGCTGAGGTTCGTAGAGAAGAAAGCAGAAAACAACTAATGCTTCCAGAGATTCATCCATCCCTATCTGCTGAAGGGTCTGCTCTCCTTACTCACAACTCATCCCAAGATGGCAAATTCAAGAAGGGCGGCCGTCAATGGTGTGAGCACCGCAGAAGAGTTGGACGTGTGAAAGACACATGCTGGAAACTGCACAGAAAGGAGCAGCTTGAAGCACTGCAGCAAATCCTGGGCATAATCTCCTCTACTACAGTGCAGCCATCTTCTACACGTCCCACTACAACACCAACAGAACAGTCCACTAGTTTTTTTGGCCCACCAAGGTATACCACACGTTGTCTATACTGTAAACAGCAAGAAAAATAAACTCTGGATTGTCGATTCTGGTGCTTCTGACCACATGACAGGTGATCTCATTGCCTTCCAAAGTTACAGCCCGTGCACCTCTCAGTCTGCAGTCTGAATTGCTGATGGTAGCTCCTCGGCAATGGCAGTAAAAGGATCCATCAGATTCACATGACAGGTGATCCCATTGCCTTCCAAAGCTACAGCCCGTGCACCTCTCAGTCTGCAGTCCGAATTGCTGATGGTAGCTCATCGGCAATGGCAGTCTATGAAGCACGGACACGCATAACATGAAGCCGTGTCGTGTCGTGTCCGTGTCGGACACACGTGTCGAACACACGTATCCTATGTATTTTTTAGGATTTGCCTCGTGTCGGCGTGTCGGATGGCCGTATCGGATCCGTGTCCGTGCTACATAGATGGCAGTAAAAGGATCCATCAGATTGTCAAAAGACATTGTTCTCTCCACTGTTTTATTTGTGCCAAAATTAGACTGCAAATTGATTTCCATTAGCAAATTAACTCATGATCTAAAGTGTGTTGCTAAGTTTTATTTAAATTTTTGTGAATTTCAAGAGGTAGATTCGGGGAAGGTGATTGGCAATGCTAGACAATGTGGTGGTCTATATTTGTTTCAATAGAGTTCAACTTCTTTTCATTCCAAACATATTTTTCAGTCCAGTTTCAACTTCGTCGGTTTAGTTTCAAATTCAGTCAATTCAAATTCTGTTATTTCAAATTCAAATTCAAATTCAAAAGAGTCTCAAGTTATGTTATGGCATTTTCGTCTGGGTCATCCTAATTTTATGTACCTTGAAAAGATGTTTCCACATCTATTTACTAATAAAAGGCATATTGTTTTTCAATGTGAAATTTGCCAATTGTCCAAACATACTCGCCACAATTTTTCTAGTCTCAAATATAATGCTTCTCCAATGTGAAATTTGCCAATTGTCCAAACATACTCGCCACAATTTTTCTAGTCTCAAATATAATGCTTCTCACCCATTTTCTGTTATTCATAGTGACATATACTCGCCACAATTTTTCTAGTCTCAAATATAATGCTTCTCACCCATTTTCTGTTATTCATAGTGACATATGGGGGCCTTCTCGAGTAAAGAACGTTAATGGAACTAGATGGTTCATCACCTTCATTGATGACCACTATAGAACCACTTGGACATACCTAATGAGAGAAAAATTCAAGGCATCTTCAATATTCAAAGCCTTTCACTCAATGATCTTCACATAATTCCAAAGCAACATAAAGGTATTCAAAAGTGATAATGCCAAAGATTACTTCAATTCTACTCGGTTCCTATTTATCTCAAAATGGTATTGTCCATATTAGTTTGTGTGTCGATATTCCACAACAAAATGGAGTAGACGAAAGGAAAAACATACATTTATTAGAAGTGGCTCGGTCCCTTATATTTTCCAATCATGTTCCAAAACAATTTTGGGGAGAAGCTATTCTCACTGCCACTTATCTTGTTAATCAAATACCTAGTCGTACCCTTGCATTCAAAACTCTGAGACATGTCCTTTCTTGAAACTTACCCTCACCTTAAAACTTTCTCCTTTGATTTACCTCTCAAAGTGTTTGGCTGCACATCCTTCGTCCATGTTCATCATCGTACCAAACTTGATCCCAAGTTCGTAAAATGTATCTTTATTGGCTACTCTTCACATCAAAAGGGCTACAAATGTTACTCCTCAAAACTCATCGAGTCTATACCTCCATGGACGTTACCTTCTTTGAAACTTAATTGTTCTATCCCAAATCACAAATTCAGGGGGAGAATGCTAGAGAATTTGAAATTTGGGTCATCCTTCAAAATACTCAAGCCGTGTTCCCCTCAATTCAAACAGTCCCTCTTCCATCACCACCTACTTCATCCAAAACAGTATCTCAAACAACTGAAAATCCTCAACTATCTGAATTAGTCCCTAACACAGTCACAGTTCACAATTCTCAACCTTCTCAAGAATTCATTGTCTACTCAAGAAGAAGGAGACCTGTTGAGCAAATAGAGGCCAACACATTGCCGTAGGACTCTCAAGCACCTGATCCGGACTCACATGCCTCAATTCATAAAGGTATGGATATTCTTACACCACTTGTTGATGATTCTGATATGCACATTGCTCAAAGGAAGGGTGTACGACGGTGTACTACTCACCCAATTGAGAAATATGTTGCTTATGGGAATCTAACGCCCTCGTACAGAACTTTTGTTACTAAGCTTGATAGTGTCCGGATTCCCCAGACTATCCAAGAAGCTCTCAACGGTTCTGCCTGGAAGCGTGCAGTAGAAGAAGAAATTCGAACACTGGAAAGGAATGGTACCTGGACTCTCACAGATTTGCCTCTAAGGGAAGAATCCGATTGGATGCAAATGGATGTTTACAATAAAATAGCATGCAGATGGGAGTATAGAGAGGTTTAAAGCCAGACTCGTTGCAAAAGGGTTCACTAAGTCTTATGGTATTGATTACCAAGAAACCTTTGTCCCAGTTGCCAAACTTAACACTGTTCGAATTTTATTGTCTCTAGTTGTGAATTCAGATTGGCTTTTGTATCAACTAGATGTTAAGAATGCCTTCTTGAACAGTGATCTTAAAGAAGAAGTGTACATGCAGATTCCCCCTGGGATGGAGAATTCCAACAACTGTAGGCTTGTATGTAAACTAAAGAAATCTCCATATGAACTAAAGCAGTCTCCACGTGCTTGGTTTGATAGGTTTGCTAAGGCTATCCGAGATAATAGCTACACTCAGTGCCAAACTGATTATACGATGTTTATGAAATTCTCAGATGGTGGTAAGATAGTTATTCTAATTGTTTATGTTGATGATATAATCCTAACAGGGGATGATGGTGAGGAGATTACAAATTTGAAGAAAATGTTGGTAAGGGAGTTTGAAATCAAAGACCTGGGAACCCTCAGATACTTTCTGGGCATGGAGGTAGCCCGATCCAAGGAGGGAATTTTCATCTCCCAGAGAAAGTACATACTAGACCTGTTGACTGATATAGGTATGTTAGGATGCAAACCTGGAGACACTCCCATGGACTCTAAAAGACGGAACAACAAAGAGACAGATCAAGTTCCAGTTGATAAAAGAAGATATCAAAGACTTGTTGAAAAACTAATTTACCTGTCACACACTAGACCGGATATTGCTTACTCAGCGAGTATTGTCAGCCAACATATGAACAGTCCCTATAAAGAGCATTTGGAGGATGTATACTGAATGGGAAAAATGCTTCCAGCCCCCAAAATCAAAGAAAATGTGTCTCCCATCCCTCAAGACTTTTTCAACGGGTGTTTTACCCCTAAAAATAAACTTTTTGTTCTCTGAGCCCCCAAAACACAAAGCTCAAGAATTTTACATAGGTAAAAACTATAATACCATTTATCTCTCTTATGGGCATTGATCGGCTGGGAGGTAAACAAGAGAAGGAGCCTAAGCCATCCAACATCTTCATCAATATTGTCTTCTTCGAAGACCCCTGCACCACCACCCAGTTGCAGCGCATGGGATGTGACGGCTCCAG